GCATCAGGGGCACCAGGGGCAGGGGACAAGGGCACTGTGAGGCACGGGGATGGGGACACCATGGGGCACGGGGACGGGGGCAGCGGGGGGCACGGGGATGGGGACACCATGGGGCACGGGGATGGGGACACCATGGGGCACGGGGACGGGGGCAGCGGGGGGCACGGGGATGGGGACACCATGGGGCACGGGGACGGGGGCAGCGGGGGGCATGGGGACAGGGGCAGCGTGGGGCATGGGCACCTGGCGCTGGCAGCCCTCCACGATGATCAGCTTCTGCTGGGGGGACGTGCGGGCGAAGACGATCTCGGTGTGGTTCTTGAGGATCTCGTCCAGCTGCTCCGAGGTCATGTCCTTCAGGTCGGAGCCGTGCACCACGCAGGCCTTCGCCTCCCTGCCACAGCGCAGCCTCAGCGGGGGCCGCCGGGCCCCCCCCGCGCCCCCCGCACTGGCACCTACCGGGGGTTCACCTGGCTGACGGGGATGTTGAGGCGGGCGGCGATGTCCTCCACCGTCTCGTTGCCCTCCGAGATGATGCCCACCCCCTTGGCGATGGCCTTGGCCGTGATGGGGTGGTCCCCGGTCACCATGATCACCTGGGGAGGGGACACACATGTGGAGGGGCGACCCCCGCTCAGGTGGGAGCCTGGCGAGGGCTCAGGGGGTGCGCGGGGGTCTCACCTTGATCCCGGCGCTGCGGCACTTGCCGACGGCGTCGGGGACGGCGGCGCGGGGGGGGTCGATCATGGACATGAGCCCCACGAAGCAGAGGTTGCTGGTGGGGAAGTTGACCTCGTCGGCATCGAACCTGAACCCGCGGGGGAACTTGTCCGGGGGCAGGTAGAGGTGGCAGAAACCTGGCGGGCGCCGGCGGGTGACGGGGTGCGGGTGCCCATGGGCACCCCCTTCCCTCACCCGCTGCTCCTCCTCCCCGCCACAGCCCCCCCCGTGTCCCCTTTGCCCCCACGTCCCTTGTGTCCTCCATGTGCCCCCCAGTGACCATCTCCGCCTCCAGTGCCCCCCCGGATCTCCCTGCCCCTGTGTCCCCTGTGTCCCCATGGTCCTACCCCCTATGTCCTCCACACACCCTGCGCGCCCTGTCCCCCCACGTCCCTCGTGTCCCCAAGTTCTCTCAGCCCACGCCCGGGTCCCCATGGCCCTGCCACATCCCCCCTGCTCCTACATGCCCATCCTCTGCATCCCCCTGTCCCTTTGTCCCTGTGTCTTTTGTCCCGTCCCCTCTGGCCCCCCCCACGCCCTCCGCATCCCCCCACCCCACACCCCCCATCACCCCCTCCCGTGCCCCCACGTCCCTTCACCCCACATCTGTGCCCCCATGCTGCCATCCCTACCCCGTCCCCTGTGCCTCCCGCACCCCCCGTCCTCACCCAGGACGCGCTCCCCCAGCCCCCCCAGCTCCAGGTAGGCGTTCTGGAAAGCTTCCCGCATCTCCTGGTCCAGCGGCACCTCCTGGCCCTGCAGCAGGATGCGGGAGCAGCGGTCCAGGATGCGCTCAGGGGCCCCCTTCATCACCAGCAGGTACCCCTGGGGGTCCTCCTCCCGCTCGTGGATGGAGAGCTGCAGGCACAGCGGGGACGCTGGCACCGGGTGGCACCGACCGAGCCCCCCCCGGGGCCGCCGCCGCTGCCACCACCGGCCCGGCAGACCTGGTACTTGTTGGTGGAGTTGAAGGGGATCTCGCTGACTTTGGGGTTCTTGTCCCGCATCTTCTTGACGGAGCCGCAGGAGAGCTGGATGCACTTCAGCAGCGCTGACTCCGAGGCATCGCCTGCCGTGTCTCGCTGGCGCGGGGGGGAGATGCTCAAGGTGACGCCGGTGGCACGGGGGGGCACTGGGACCGGCACCGCCCCGGCTCTCAGAAGGATTTGGGGGCGTTCCGGGGGGTCGACATCCACCTACCTTGGAAATGGAGATGTTTTCCTGGCCCGGCTTGAAGACGGCGCGGTTGCAGAGCCCCGCGATGCGAGCCAGTGCCGCCCAGGTGGGCGAGCGCTTGTCAAAGGTGGCACCTGGGGGACAGACACCCCCGTCAGCCGTGCCGGGACCCCCCCATCTTCTCTGGGGACACCTCCCGCGCTCCCAGGGGTGGGGGGGTGGGGGGTGGGGGTGCCCTGAGGACCCAGGGAAGAGGGTGCCCCAGGGGATGGGGTGCCAGGGCAGTGACATCTGAGTGCAGGTGCAAGAAACGGGGTGCTCCTGGGGGTGGGGTGCTGAGGGGGTCAGGGTGCTCGGGGAGGGGGGGGGGGTCAGGGTGCCAGCCACCCACCCGACTGGTCCTCGGTGGTGTCGGCCTCGTGGATCTGGTTGTCGAACCACATGTGGGCCACGGTCATGCGGTTCTGGGTGAGGGTCCCCGTCTTGTCGGAGCAGATGGTGGAGGTGGACCCCAACGTCTCCACCGCCTCCAGGTTCTTCACCAGGCAGTTCTTGCGCGCCATCCGCTTGGCCGTCAGCGTCAGGCACACCTGGGGGGGGGCACGGGGCTCAGCAGGCACCCACGGGGCTCGGGGGGCACCCACGGGTGTCAGCAAGCACCGGGCATTGCTGGGTGCACCAGGGCCAGCTCAGCAGAACCGGCGCCCACCACCTCCCTCCCCGTAGAGCCGGTGCCCCACCCCCCTGCTCCCCCCGTGGGCCTTACGGTGACGGTGGCCAGCAGCCCCTCGGGGACGTTGGCGACGATGATGCCGATGAGGAAGATGACGGCCTCCAGCCAGGTGTAGCCCAGGATGAGGGAGAGGATGAAGAAGGAGAGGCCGAGGAAGACGGCGACGCCGGTGATGAGGCGGATGAAGTGCTCGATCTCCATGGCGATGGGCGTGCGCCCCACCTCCAGCCCCGAGGCCAGCGAGGCGATGCGCCCCATCACCGTCCGGTCCCCCGTGGAGATGACGATGCCGCGGGCAGTGCCTGGCAGGACGGGGTGGGGGGGGTTGAAGCAGCCCCGGGGGGCACCGGGGACCCCCCCGCGTGGGCAGGGACCCCCGGGGACCCACCTTCCACACAGTTGGTGGAGAAGAAGCAGATATTGCGGGTCTCCAGTGGGTTCTCGTGGGTGAACTCGGGTGAGCGGGTCTGCGGCTCCGACTCCCCCGTCAGCGATGAGTTGTCAACCTGGTGCCGTGGGCATGAGTGGGTGCCGGCGGGCACGGGTGGGTGTCGGCGGGCACGGGTGGGTGCCGGAGGGTGCTGGGCACTGCTGGGCTTGGCTGGACTCAGGGCAGACCCCACTGTCCCCATGCCAGCCCTGGTGCCCACACCATGCCACCCCTGGTGCCCACCCCACATCATTCCCAGTGCCCACCCCATGTCACCCCCAGCACCCACCCCGTGCCCACCCCACGTCACCCACCCCACGCCAGCCCCGGTGCCCACCGGTGCCCACTCACCTTGCAGCCGTGGGAGGAGATGATGCGCATGTCGGCCGGCACCCGGTCCCCCCCCTTCACCTCCACCAGGTCGCCCACCACCACGTTCTCCGCGTTGATCTGGATTTTCTCGCCTTCCCGGATCACCAGCGCTTGCTGCCGGGGCGCAGGGCACCATGAGGGGTGCCCGGGCACCCCCACCCTACCTGGGACCCCCCCGCCAAGCCGGGTGCCCACCCAGGGCTCCCACCTGGGGCACCATGTTCTTGAAGGAGTCCATGATCTTGGAGCTTTTGGCCTCTTGGTAGTAGGAGAAGCAGCCGGTGACGATGACGACGGCGGCCAGCACCACCCCCAGGTACAGCTGGGACCCAGGCAGCGCCTCAGCACCCGGCACCCGGGGGGCAGGGTGGGACCCCCGGCTGCCCCACAGCACAGGTCGCTAGGGAGGGCACCCCCACGCCAGCCCGGCCCGTTTGCCATCCAGACCCCCCGAGAGTTGGCACGTGGTGGCGGGGGGCAGGTGCCCGTGTCACCCCTGAGCCCCCACGGTGCCCCCTGTGACGCCCATGACCCCACAGCACCTGTGCCCCCTCCAATGCCCGTGTCCCCCAGGGCGCTCCTGAACCCCACGATGCCCATGGTGCCCCCCCGCAAGGGTGCTTGTGTCCCCCCCACTCCAAGGGTGCCCATGGCCCTGCTCCCCCCATGATGCCTATGCCCCCCCCGATGCTCATGCCCGCCCCAGTGCCCATGTCCCCATAGCGCCTCTGCCCCCTATGATGCCTGTGCCCCTCAGGGTGCCCATGCCCCCCCCAATACTCATGCCCCCCAGATGCCCATGCCCCCCCCCGATACTCATGCCCCCCAGATGCCCATGCCCCCCCGATACTCATGCCCCCCAGATGCCCATGTCCCCACGACGCCCGTGCCCCCCCGTGCCCTCACGTTGTCGTTGGAGGGCTCGTCCTCCATGGCCTGCCTGGATGCCGTAGGCCAGGAAGCAGAGGATGGCCCCGATCCAGAGCAGGATGGAGAACCCCCCGAAAAGCTGCCGGCAGAACTTGACCCACTCGGGGGTGGTGGGGGGGGGCGTCAGCGCGTTGGGACCATCCTGCACCAGGATCTCGGCCGCCCGCGCGTTGGTCAGGCCCTGCGGGGGGGACGCACGCTGCCACTCGGGGCCGGGGGGGGACTGGAGGGGCTGGGGGTCCCAGCCAGGGGACAGCCTGGGGGGCCTGGGAGGGCAGGGTGCCACGGCCAGGGCAGGGGGGGGGCACGGGGACAGGGGGTAGGGCTGGCTGTCACCCATGGGGACAGGGAGGTGGGGTGCCAGGAGGGGGGGGGTCCGTGGGGCCAGGAGGGATGTGGGGTGCTGGCGATGGCGTCGAGGGTGGGACACGGGGGCAGCTCACCCGGGACAGGTCCACCTGGTACTTCCTGCCCAGCTCATCCAGGGACAGCTTGTGGTCGTCCTGCCGGGCACGCGTCACCCGTGTCACCGCAGCCGGGGTGGCACGCTCAGCCATCCCCCCCCGCCCCGCTGCCCCCCCCCGGCCCCTCCTCACCAAGTTGACCTCCTTCTTCAGCTCATCCAGCTCCTTCTCCTTCTGCTTCCTCTTGCCCCCCCCGTTCTCGGAGGTGGTGGCAGCGGGCGAGTACTCCCGGCCAGGCCTGGGGACGCGGGACCCCGTGGGCACGCTGGCACCGCCGGCGCGGCTGGCACCGCCGGCGGCACGGCCCTCACCGTGGGCACGGGCATTACCATGGGCATGGATGTCACCGCCAGCATGGGGGTCACCGTGGCCACCGGCATCATCGAGGGTACGGGGCGTCACCGTGGGCACGGGGGGGACTGCAGGCACCGGTGGCAGCGTGGGCATGGGGGGCACCGCAGGCAGGGGGGGGGGGGGGGTGGCACTGTGGCCAGTGGGGCGGGGGGGGGGGTGTCCCCAGGACTGGGGGAGGGGTCATCGTGGTCACAGGGGTGGCACCGTGATGATGGGGTTGGCATGGGGGGGATCCCCAGGACCGTGGGGAAGGGGGGTCACCGTGGTCACAGTGGGGTCCCTAGGGTCATGGGAGTGTCACTGTGGTCACCGGGGTGGCACTGGGGGGTCCCCAGAACCGTGGGGAGGGGGGTTAATGGGGACACAGGGGTGGCACTGTGGCCGCGGGGGGGTCCCCAGGGCCATCAGGGAGGGTCGCTGTGGCCGTGGGGGGGTCCCCAGGGTCATGGGAGTGTCACTGTGGTCACCGGGGTGGCACTGCGGTGATGGGGTGACAGTGTCCCTCGGGCTGTAGAGGTGGCACTGTGGCTGGGGGGGGGCGGGGGGGGTGTCCCCAGAGCCCTGGGTGGGGGTCACTGTGGTCACGGGGGGGTCCCCAGGGCCAGGGGGGGGTTGCTGTGGCCATGGGGGGGGGGGTCCCGCAAGCTGGGGAGGGGAACACCCCACCAACACCGCAGGTGTCACGGAGAGGCAGGGGTGCTGTGGCAGGCAGCCCTGGCCGCTCTCCTGGGGGGGGACACGCTGCGTCCCCCCCCCCGCTGCCAGTGGCGGGGGGTCCCCTGGGGCTGGCAGGGCCCGATGGCACGTCCGCGGTGGCTCTGCCCGCCGGGCCGGTGGTTGGCAGGAGCAGGCGGGGGCCGGGGGGGCGGCGGGTGCCCCAGCATGGGGCCGGGGGGGCCGGGGGGGCCGATGCGGTCATGGAAAACGGCCCCGGTGCCAAGAACAACGGCCGGGAGCGGAGGGGTCGTGTTACCGCGGAGACGGGGACACGGGGGGGCACCCACAGCCAGCCACCCCCCCACGGGGTACCCCCAGGCGGGGGGGCAACACTGCCTGACACCCCCCCCCACCATGGACAGTGGGGACCCCAGCCCCCCACGCAGGGACACTTTGTCTTTGCACGGGGGGGGGGGGGGGGGGGCACATCTGAAGGGGCACCCCTGGATTTGGGGGAGGGGGGGGGACGGCAGAGGAGTGGCACGGGGGGGGGGGGGGGGGGGGTGTTGTGTCTGTGTGTGTGTCCCCCCGGCATTTCCCTGGGGACAGACTGCCAGGACAGACACCCGGTGGGGGCACCCCTGGGGGGGACAACCACGGAAGGGGGGGGGCACCTCTTGTCCCATATCCTCCGGGGTCCCCCCACCTTTGGGTGGGTGCCCAGGAGCCGGGGGGGTCCCGGAGTGGGGGGGTCCAGGCCGTGCCAGGCGGGACGGGGGGTGCCGGGCGAGGCGCCAGCCCCAGCTCAGGGCCCCCCCGCGGCCGTTGCCACGGCACCGGCGACCCTGGCACTGAGCAGCCGGGGCCACGGGCACAGGGCCACTGGCACGGGTGGGGGCCGGGCACGGGGGGGCCGAGGGGGGTGTTCCTCTGCAGGGGCACCTTGGCTCCGTGCCTCAGTTTCCCCACCATGGGGGATGCTCCCCCTACATTCCTTCCCCGAAGCAGGAGGGGGTACCCAGGCGTTCGGGCAGCCGCCCACGCGTGTGGGGGGTCACTCGGGAATGCGTGGCAGTGGGACCCCGGGGCGGGGAGGACGGTAAGTGGGAGGGCAGCGGCACCGAGATGGTGGGTCAGTGGCAGTGGGACCCTGGGGGTGGCGGCGGGGGGGGGGGCGTGGGGGTCACGGGCTGCAGGACGCCCGCGGGTGGGTGCTGGTGCCGGGGGCAGCGCCCGACGGGGCGAACACCCACGGGTGGCAGCGGGTGGGTGCCCACACGGGTGGACGCCCCGGGGCGGGACGTGGGGGGGTCCCTCGTGGACGGGTGCCGGCCGGCAGCGGGTGGGTGATGTGGGTGTCCCGCGTGGGTGGGTGCCGCCTGGCAGCGGGAGGGTGCCCCGCGTGGGCGGGTGCCAGGGTCAGGTGCCGGGTGGCAGCAGGCGGGCGCCCGCAGGGGTGGGCGCTCCGGGGGGGCGGGGGGGGGATGTGCGGGGGGGTGCCCCGCGTGGGCGGGTGCCCCGCGTGGGCGAGTGGCGGGCCCTACTCACCCCTCTGCCCATGGCGCTGCCGTCGCTGCTCTCGGCCCGGGGCACTCGGGGGGCGGTGGCGGCGGCGGCCGAGAAAAACCCTCCCGGGCCCCGCCCGGGCCGGCCCCCCCCGCCCCCGCCCCCCGCCCCCCCGCTCGGGCCTGCCCCCCCCATCCCCCCCGGCCCCTCCTGGCCGGGACCGGACCTCCCCCCGGACCCCCACTCCGGTTCCCCCCCGTTATGCGGGGGCTCCTGCCGCCCCCACTCCGGCCGTGTTGGGGGTCTCTGGCCCGCCCCCCCCCCCCACAACCACCACCCGCGACGCGGCCGTGGGACCCAGGCGTCCGAGGCGGTGGGGGGTCCCGGCCGAGCGCTGGGAACGCAGGTGTCCGGGCCGGGGGGGCGCCCCCTCCTGACCCCCCCACACTGCGGGGCGGGGGACCCCGGCATCTGGGCCCCCCACGCCGACCCCACAGCTTGGCGGGGGGGCGGGGGGAGGCGGGGGCTGCCTGGACGCCCGGGTCCCACCATGCAGCCCCCCCCCTCCAAGAGCAGGGGTTCACCTCAGGAGAGAGGTTTGGGGGGGGCCGCTCCCCACCCGTCTGTCCCCAGTTCTCCCAGTGCTCCTGCTCCTGCTGGGGACGCTGGTGGCACCGGGCAGCAACGGGGAACGTGGGGCGGCTAAAATTAGCCAGGGAAAGGCCAGGGCCGGCAGTGCGGGGGGGCTGTGACCGGGGGGGCTGTGACCGGGTCCAACTGTCACCAGGGACAACTGTCACCAGGGAGAACTGTGCCCGGGGACCAGCTGTGCCCAGAAACCGCCCGTGCCCAGGAACCGGCTGTGCCTACGGCCGACTGTGCCCAGGGTGACTGTTCCTGGGGACCGGCTGTTCCTGTGATGTGGTCGTGCCCGGGGTGACTGTTCCTGGGGTGGCTGTTCCTGGAGTGGCTGTTCCTGGGGTGGCTGTTCCTGGGGACGTGGTTGTGCCCAGGGTGACTGTTCCTGGGGCCCGGCTGTTCCTGTGACGTGGCTGTGCCCAGGGGTGGCTGTGCCCCTGGTGACTGTTCCTGGAGATGTGGTTGTGCCAAGGGTGGCTGTTCCTGGGGTGCTGTTCCTGGGGTGACTGTTCCTCGGGACACGCTTGTGCCGGGGACGCGGCTGTGCCAGGGTAGTGCCCAGTGTCACCTCCTGACGCCCCAGTGTGCCCCCAGTCCCAGTGCTGCACAGCCCCAGCCCCACCAGGCCGGCTCCCAGGTCCCCTCCCAGTAACAGCCCCCCCCCCCCCCAACTCTCCTCTCGGCCCCCCAGAGTCCAGCTTAGTCGCCATGGCAACTGTCAAGGGCAGCTCAAGGGCACGGGGGGGCCCACAGCCCCCTGCACCAGTGCCACCACTCGGCACCAGTGCTCCAACCGTCCCCACGACCCAGCCCGCTGCACCAGTCCCTTGGTCCACCCCCCTGCTCCCCACGTAGCCCCAGTGCGCCCCGGTCCCACCAGTCCAGCTCTGCACCCCCAAAGTAGCCCCGTAGCCCCAGTGCGCCCCGGTCCCACCAGTCCAGCTCTGCACCCCCAAAGTAGCCCCATATCCCCGGTGCACCCCGGTCCCACCAGTCCAGCTCTGCACCCCCAAAGTAGCCCCGTAGCCCCAGTGTGCCCCGGTCCCACCAGTCCAGCTCTGCACCCCCAAAGTAGCCCCGTAGCCCCAGTGCGCCCCGGTCCCACCAGTCCAGCTCTGCACCCCCAAAGTAGCCCCATATCCCCGGTGCGCCCCGGTCCCACCAGTCCAGCTCTGCACCCCCAAAGTAGCCCCGTAGCCCCAGTGCGCCCCGGTCCCACCAGTCCAGCTCTGCACCCCCAAAGTAGCCCCGTAGCCCCAGTGCGCCCCGGTCCCACCAGTCCAGCTCTGCACCCCCAAAGTAGCCCCATATCCCCGGTGCGCCCCGGTCCCACCAGTCCAGCTCTGCACCCCCAAAGTAGCCCCGTAGCCCCGGTGCGCCCCCGTCCCACCAGCCCATGACCGTGCCCCATCGGTCCCGGCCCCCCCCCCGCCGGCCCCAGCCCCCCGCCCGCTCTGTCCCCGCACAGCCCGGTCTGCCCATCCTCCCCAGCGCCTCCCTCTCCACCCCAGCACCCCCCAGGCTCCCCTATTCCCTCCCCCATTTGTCTCAGCGCCCCCCAGTCCCCCCCGATATATCCCAGTCCCCCCACTCCATCCCAGCCCCCCCGGCCGTCCCAGTCGGGGCTGGGCACGCCGCGGCGGGTTGGGGG